TGGTCTGAGCAGAGTTGCTACGTTATGGCGTCCAAAACGATGAAGCAAGATTTCACCTTATCTGGGTAACTTCAGGGTTGACCTTGGGGTTTCAGTACTATGACGATGGATCACTACTTTCTGATTTTATTGCCACGGTAACTTAAACTGCAAACCCAATCTGCTCCACGTGAGGTTGTGTTGCAGGTTAGAGATCAACGGGTATGAAATCATCTCCTATTGACCAATCAGTTCTCTATAAAATCACTTTCCCAGACCTCTCTCCTGAGAGTAAGAGGGTCTAAAGATTTTTTTAAAGTGTTTAAAGTCATTGTGTTTCACTGATGAGCAATTATAAGAAATATATGTTCTTAGACATAACGTTGTGGTGGGATTGTCTTCATGACACCCAGGACGCACTCTAGTATAACTTCATAAATCATTTGTGTAACTTCTGTAAGCCACTTCTGACGTGTGATCAGCGACTGCGTGTTTGCCATTAGTGAGAGCAACTTTTTGGAAAATCTTTTCTATATGCACTTTAAAGTTCTTTTCCTGTTTTTCTAGCATGATCTTGACTAATAATAGTAAAGCCAACATGGCAAAGACTGTAATCTGCATATGTGCAACCTTGTGCAACCTGCAAATTGATGGCCAGGAGTGTCTCTACACAAAAAAGTCTGTATCGATATTGATTAATATTAATTCAAAATTGATTTAAAAGTCCAGTATTGGTCGGGCTCTAGTCAGAGAGTTAATGGAGTAAAGAAGGAGAGGAAAATTCTAAATGTTGCACAGAAAAACTTGCTTTTGTTCTTTTTTTTGTGAACTTTTGTGGACTTGATCTTGAACAGGTTTTTAACATATACCTTTTTCTCATTTGTTTTCCATTCAACAACTTTAATGTCTGATAAAACGAGCAATTTCTCATTAGATCTATGCACTGCTTACACTGATGAAACATCTAACAACTCGCAGACATTTTAAACGTGGAGGAGCCCTGTTTTTGTGAAGTAAATTCTGTTGTCAGATGTATGTGAAGAAGGAGGGAAGACAATACTGAACCCTGAAATGTCACAAAGTCAAACTTCTAACAACGAAGCAAACAAGTGGAAACACTAAGCCTAGCTCCTAAAACTGGTACTTAAGTACAGTTCTCAGGTGAAATAATCAGACACTGGAAAGATTTTCAGAATAAAACACAGATGGCAGGATTAATAATCCTAACCCATATGATGCAGTTAAATAAATACCCTTTTTAATAACAAAACACGCCCAAGAAGAAATTCACCAAAGAAAAGCTTGTATATAGATCTGGTGATCTTTTTCTGTCATTAAGCAGGATTTCAGCCTGTGTTTGCCTTGAACACTGTCACCAGACACTGAGTGACAATCCTCAGGCTTTCAGGAAAACTAGTTTCTTGGCTCTGAAATGATTTCCTGATCTGAGCCTTTGCATGTCAATGAAATGAAAATAATGGCACGCCGACTAAAGCTGACTAAAGCTGACTAAAGCTGCTCTTTCTCACGACCTTCGTGAGAACAAAACAGTGAGCATTGTAACATTGTAGTCAATTCTAATGCTTTAGTTTCTATTTCCTGTCAATGTTAAAATAGCCTCCAGGTGGTGCCAATGAAATGAATTTTTCAAATGCACAAATAAGATGCATTTCCTTACTGTGGCGTCTTCTTTGGTGTAGTATTCTGGGATGGGGATGTAGTGGTTGGGCACTTTGGATTTATCTGCTGCTTTTTCTTCGGTGTCCCACATAATGTTGTTCAGGTCTGGGAAGTTATGATTCAGGTCGATTCCTTCAAAGCTGTATCGTCCCTCAGCCCATCCAGACAGTTCTGAACCCTGCACCACATTAACAAGTAT